ATCAAAGTCAAGTCTCCTTATCATATTAAACGTTTCTCTATGGTCACCTCTGTCCTGTCTATGGTGAAGGGGGTAGAAATTCAAGGGAGTCAGGCGCTACGGTCGCCAAGTGTGTACCATTTATTCCAAATGCGGCCGCACAAATGCTGCATATACCTTACCAAAGATACCAATATTAAAATTAATAAACGTTCTTATTTTGCTCATAATTGACACAGCCCGCGCTGCGATTCCGGAGCCGTTGGCCGTTACGCTTAAGTCGTCTTTAATAAATGCGCCAAGTTTTTGCACAATTACGGTTCCATGTGATTGATTATCCAAGATATATTGTCGTGAGAAGGTATTTGTTCTTCCTTTTGCTAATATTATGTGCATTAGCACACACCTTATGACATCAAATTTCAAGCCTCAGTTCCCGTTCTATTCATACAGCTCCTCTATGTCCTCTTCTAGTATCTATAAGTCTCTTTCGTCTGTTAGCACCCTTCAAAGCTTGCGATCATCGGCACAGAAAGTTTTATCCGTTTTCACTTTCTGTGTTAGGTTATTTATATAGGTAATGAATAGGGGTGCCCCAAGAAGTGATCCTTGGGAGTCCCCACTTTTAACGGGCGTCGATTTTTAAAATCAACCGCCCGTATTAACTTCTGTTCAAGATCTTTTGAAAAATGTTGATTCCAGTTCAGAAGGTTTCCCCGTATCGTTGAGTCTAGCATATTTTGAAGGAACTGATTATGTGAAACGCACTCAAACACCTTACCGCAGTCAAATTCAATGACCCCTTTTGGATGTCCTCCATTCATGGCCTTTGACCAACATTCGAGTGATGTAAGGAAGTTTGCAAGACAGGACCTCTTTTGACAGATACCATGTTTAGCTCAGTTGATTTGGCGACGGAATGTATCGAGAGATATGATGGATTTTTAACTATCCTTTCTACCGACTTACGGTGAATGCATTTTAGGCTGGCTGGCCGGCCGGTAGTTGGTGTGATATAGTCGTGATCCTCAATTATGGCTGCATACTACATTTACCAAATTCCATAATACTGATACTGATATTAGGAAGTTTAACAGCTTCGGGCTATCTTTGGAAGGTGATAGGAAATGGTTATGCTGATTCTTCAGTTAATTGACGTAAGAGTACGCTTAGAATATCATCCGGTCCAGATTACTTGGTCAGATCCAACTTTTTAAACTCTGCTAAAACTAGATGTGGTGTAATATTTTGTTTATAACTGGGTTGTTGACGAACTGTTACAGAAGCTAGCGCTGGAGAAGTGTTTCGACGCTTCCGAAAAAAACTCGGCTTTTAAGTCCATCCCCAAAAATTTGGTTGTGGAATGACCACGATTATATGCCTTTATTCTGGTTACTGCGTATAATGCTTTAGACTTTGCGGCAATTCATAAAAAGCGCGTACTCCACGGAGTCTTTTGCACAAATTGTCTTGTCAAGATTCTTCAAGTTTTTTTCGCTTCTCCTTTGCCGCGGTTGTTAGCCATTCCGGTCGGATATTTCTTGAGAGTACAGTACCGTTTAATCAAGTTGTCCTTTGTTAACTCAAATGTTTCCCATCATTCGTGGAAATCTCGCAAAACTTTGGTCTACACTGCGTAGACGTCTTTGGCTAATATTCCTACTACTACGATTTCTTGTAACGGCGGCCCCCTGAGTTGCCACGTTCGATTCTGTTCGCCGGAAATCCTTATTGGTGGATAAAGGGATCAGAATGTAAATCACCATGCTTAATGCTAACGCCCATTCCATTTCTGCGCGAATCCTGGTCTACAACGATTTCCTCCAATCGTTAGATATTTAATCCGGCCTTTTAACAGTTGTATTCTGCCGCCCATTCACCAGTTAGAACCCATTTTTTCTGTCCTTCTCTACTTAAAGGCGTGGGCGAGGAAGACGCATGGCCAGAATCTGTTAGGCCGTACGTTGTCCCCAGTGCGCCGGCAACCTTTGTTTATATGCCGGACTTTATTGATGCCGACACGGAAGCTGACCTCTTACGCAACATCTACTCAGTCCCTGAACGTCGCTGGCAACGTCTCGGCAACAGACGACTGCAGATCTGGGGTGGAACGCCACACGTCAAGGGCATGATTGCTGAAGAAATCCCCAAGGTACTTCTTGTCTCCAAACAACACATTATTGCGCCCTCCTGCCTTCTCTAGTGGTTGCATTCCCTCATGGACCGGATATCTGACTTGGGCGTCTTTGGACCCTACCGAGCCAACCATGTGCTCATCAATGAATACAAATCCGGTCAGGGCATAATGGTATGCCTGACGTATTCCCTTTTCTGATCTTACTAGGAATTATTTAGCCGCATCACGACGGCTCCCTGTACTACCCGGTCGTCACCACAGTGAATCTTGGCGGCCACAGCGTCCTGGACTTCTATAATCCAATAGAAGCAGAACAGGTGAGTGAATCAGATATGTTTATTTTTTTCCGTTTGCCTATTTCAATGCTCGTATTTCGTCGCTGAAAAAAGTTCTTCTCCGGGTCTGAATGTGTGCGGCCCAACTTTCAGTGAGTGTGCCATTGGTACATTTTCCGGTCACGACCGATCCCTAATTCTTCTTCAGCAACAGGCATGTAGCAAACACCAATAACAGAAAGTGATTTAACTATCGGTTACCTTTTTCCGCGATGCCCTAGCATTCATGGTTGACGTAAAAGTAAAACTCGAACTGGAGCATTTGAAATTCTAATGGCACCTGCAATTTTAGGTATTCTGCTCGTGACTACATGTGGAAATTTATTTTTGTTAATCACTTGGAAGTAGAACAATCAAGTGCCATAACTGATTTCTTTCGTCAACTCGGCATCATTCGGTGTGCTTCATCGGTAACATTATATTGATGGGTTGTCATGCTGCCCGCGAACCGTTCTTGTTACTTGTTTATCAATATCTTTAAACCAAGTAATTTTGTCGGCGCGTGTGTGTTACGGGTAGATGGAATTCTCTTCATGCCTAAATCAGTCACCGCGACTGAACTCATCTGCAGCCAGCGCGACTCGAACTTGGACCTTATTTTTTTCTAGCTAGCCAGGCGTGCTTTTAAAAACTCGTCTCTATTGCATGTGATGCAGGTTGGATTAGAGCGACAGAGTAAGGCCAATCCTTCGGAATTTCTCCTCACTGTAGTCCATGTTACCTGCAAACCACTACTGCTACCTTAGTATAACAATGGCGATCTATATCTACGGATAAACCACCGCATTAACTGCTTTGTCCCTGATTGTTTGGAGGATTTGCCTGATGGTTTCGCTTTTGACGTTTTTTATATATGATCTGAGCTTTTCCTTACACTCCGGTTTTAAGCCGTTAATTTTTTTCGAAAGGTCATCGAATTTGAGTTATTATATGCAAAGAATCGGTTTGCTTATTTACGATGTCAGCTTGACCATCTTATCCACCAGAATACGGACTTGGTCACATGCGGACTTTTCGTGTATGACTAGCGTACTTTATAATTCACATATTTGAGTAGAGCACGGTAGTTTACCCATCATTCGAAATAATGTGCGTTTTTGTGGGGGTTCTCTTGAGCGTTTTTTGCAGTCCCAGATCCGCAATTTTGTGCTGCTGTTCAAAGGTTTTGCACCTGTGCCAAGGGAGCCAGGAAGCCCTTGCTGTCGCAATACTTGTAGACTTCAACGTAGATGCCGTCTACTGCCGGCGCCTTCCTCCACAGTCTGGTTATTACTTTCTGCCATACTATGCAGACTGGAGGGGTAGAAATCTCCGCCTTGGCGTCCGTCTGTGCATGCCAGTTCTCAGCCTTTCGAGTAGTTAGTAATGGCCACCCCCTAACCTGGCAAATACGTTTTCGCTACTTCAGCTTAACTGTTTTATTTAGTCGTATTCCGGAGCTGACTGAAGGAATCCTCTTCGCTGGGCCTCATTCTTGCTATTTTGGTGAGCAAGTCTATGGTCTTTCTGCTGACTTCTTTGGGCACAGGTGGGGCCCCAAAAGTTGCTCAGGTTGTTTGTTCAGAATTACCTCTTCTAACACTTTGGCTCAATAGCCTACCTGCAAGGTTATGGTAGCAAGCAAGCTCTACTGATGATTCCCTGTCGCCATGCCATAGTTCCGTCATCGTGCTTTGCACATAACAGGTCTAATCCGTCCGCGCCCTGGCAACGCTGTCGCTACTGCTTTACGACTGCTTATTCGTCACACCAGAGAGCCCGATTGCTTTGCCCTTGACCTCTTGGAAGATTGTTTTAATATTGGCCATCCAGCGACTGGGCTAACGGGTAATCCTGACTTCCCGCTGCCTAGAAAGTGTACAATTACAGCTGGACTCCATTCCAGTATTCTAGGAAGGCCAGGAAGATGACAATGCGATTTCTTTCTGTGAAGATTTTGATGCATTTACTGACTTATGTGCATCGAGTGTAGGACAGAAGCAGAGAGCGGATCCATGCTACTTTTACGCTACTTAATGCGGTTGTCTTTTAGACGCATTTCCTTCCCAACCGAAGGCTTAATGCTGAATAAGGAGGGGGAAAATCGTAGTAGTTGTTTTCGACTTCCGCGTGGATATCATTTTCGTCGAGTTTGGGACGGTGAAAGGGTCTCGTCTTGTGAACCGCGGCTTGAGGCTTTGCTTTGTTCCTACTGCTGTTACGTGTTCGCCCATCTGTGACTAGTGCTATCTTTCGGTCTGCTTTATTCTTTTATGGCCTCGTCCTTTTAAGGGTAAGGGAAGACAGAGAAGGTGCTTTAGATGCAGCAAGTCTTTTATCACGATTGAACTGTCAATTTCCCTGTGTCTCCGAGGTGGTTGCTTTCTCAAAAGCCACATCCGATCTAGCTGCATGGCGCACAGACATGTAAAAACCGTCTCTACTGATATTGGTAGTGAGTCGCAGCAATTGGCATCTCAGGTGCGAAAGACTAAGCCATGATCGCCCTATGAGCGATCTCTCGCCATGAATACAGAGGCTGACACTCTTACGAGGCGTGTGATCTCCTGGGATTTGTATCATATAAATACTACACCCTGTATACGTATCACTCTGTCAGGTGAATAAAATTCTTGTACTAGTGACCTATGCCCTCTTCGTGTAAAACCTTCCTTGAACTGTTGCCCACTCCACGCAGCCCACAAACAGCTGACTAGCAATCAGTCGGTGCTGTCATATACACCGTTAAGAACCGCGGAGTGTGGTTTCACTCTGTCCTCAGAAAACTATACTTTTTGTTAGAATGGTATATTTTTTTTTCTTCACAATGGTTGGATGCTTTTCGACTGTAAGTTAGCGTGTGATCATGAAAGAAATGAAGTTTTGTTATGTTCGTTGCTGATCACTAATTTAAGCCTCGTCTAAGTAACTTTTCCTGTGTGAAAACATGCCCTATGACTTAAGTTGGTGTGATTTCCTGTTACGTACACGTTAGGACTCATAATAATTGAGTATTCCCTATAAGAAGATATTCAACAAGCACAGAACTGCGTTATTTTTTGTCTTTATGAGTGTCCTGTAATGGCTTCTGGCGTCAACTATCCATGGCCTTCGGTCAGTTTATTTGGAGTAAATGACAGAAGCCCTTAAAACTCCATAAACACGGTATAGGTATGTATTAAAGAGTAATTAAGTTGCAAAATTGTTACAGGTTGTATTAGTATGCAAAATTCACAAAAGTAATAAAATAAGAATGGTAAAAGAATATTAAGCATTTTCGAAATAACAATGTACTGCACTTTCACTGCATTTGCATTATGAAATTTTTAATTGCATCAATATTAATGCAAAGAAAAGATCTATTGAAATCAAGAAAGTAGCATGTTTTTAGTTATCTATGATTCTACTCGACGCTTGCTTTACCTTTCCTGTAGAGTGCTGCACTCTCCGATCGGTATGTGGGCTCTGCCCTCCTAATGCCTCGCAGTCTGAACATGGTCGGTGACCTGCTCTACACGCACTATTTACATGGCATCGAGGAACGCCAATCTGATCTTCTCTACACCGATGCTGCGGGCGACTCTGCGCCTACACAAGAATCAAAGCTCGAGGAGGTGGAGGCCGAGGAGGAACGAGATCTTACGAAGCACATTTTTAACCTTCCGAGCTCTCCTCTTCCTCGGTTGGTGAACGGGTCGCTTACCCGTGAAAACCGCATCTCTGTCACTATTCGCCATGTGCCAAACACGCGAAAAGTGGACTTGCGTCGGTTCTTTGGGCAGTCCATACTTTCCTCTCTTCAGT